GCATATAAACCTTTCCCCAACATTGCATACTAGTGGTGTTATACCGTAATTGTCCTTTTGGCAATTCACAGAGCTGGAGTCTGTGAAGAGGAATGTGGTATCAGGATTGGATTGAGACTCATCAATAACCTGTATATGCAGATGACACAACCTTGCTTGCTGAAAGTGAGGATGTCTTGAAGGACTTTTTGCAGAAGATCAAAGACTACAGTCTTCACTGTGGATTGTATCTCAATATTAAGAAGACAAAGATTCTTACCACTAAACCAATAGGCAACATCAAGATAAATGGAGAACAGATTGAAACTGTCAACAACTTCCTCTTACTTGGATCCACAGTTAACACCCTTTGTACCAGCAGTCAGGAAATCAGGAGTTGTATTGCACTGGGAAAGTCTTCAGGTAGGGACCTCTCCAAATTACTGAGGATTAAAGAGTGTCTAATTCAGGCCATAGTATTTCCAATCACTAGCTATGCATCTGAGAGCTGGACAGGAATAAGGCTGACAGAAGAATTGAAGCCTTTGTGTTATGGCATTGGAGAAGAGTACTGAGTATCCCATGGATTGCCAAAAGAATGAACATTTATGTCCTAGTAATAAAGTACTTTCTTAGAGGCAAGTATGAAAAAACTTCATCTGTCATACTTAGGGCATGTTGTTGAATTGACAAAAGTGACTACAATAATGGTCTTAACTGTATCAGAAGATGATAAGGATGGTACAGCATAGGCTAGGATTCAGGTCTGTTGTTCATAGGGTTGCTATGAGTCTTACTCAACTCAGGACCCATAAAAACAACAGTAACTAGTGGTCTTGAACATTTCTTCCTGTATTTGTTGGCCATCTGAATGTCTTCTTTGGTAAAGTATCTATTCAGGTCCTGTGCCCATTTTGTAACGGGGCTATGTTTTTCTTGTTGAGGTATTGCAGTTTTCTGTAAATTTTAGAGATGACTCCCTTGTCAAATGTGTCATTGCCAAATATTTTTTCATAATCTGTAGTTTCTCCTTTTACTCTTTTGGAGAAGTGTTTTGATGCACATAAGGATTAAATTATTAGGATATCTGAATTATCTAGCTCATTTTCTGCTGACTGTGCTTTTATGCTCATGTCCCTGCTCCATCTTGAGTTAGTTGCTTTATGTGGCATGAGGAATGAGTCTTATTTTCATTTTCTGTAAATATGCATCCAATTTTGCCAATATCATTTGTTAATTAGACTCCCCCCTTTAATGAATTTCATCTCTTCATCAAAAATCAGTTGTTCATAGGTAGTTGGATTTATTTCTTGCTTCTCAATTTTATTTCATTGGTCTGTGTACCTGTCATTGTACCAGAACCCCTCTGTTATAATTACTAGGAGTGTGTAGTAGGATATGAGATGCTTAAATGTGAGGCTTCTTACTTAGTTTTCTTCTTCAGTATTTCATTTATCTAGGGTCTTTTTTCACTAATTTATGTGCTAAACCTTCTAATACACTTTGATCAGAGCTGTCATTATTACCCAATTACAGTGAGGCCTCAAACCACATAGTTTCATCTGTACACCCTCTATAAGCATGCATTTTTGCTAGTGTTTTTATAGTTACCGGTTTTGTAAAAATTCCTTATGTTTTAGCTAATAATATTAGCGAAATTACTAATATTATCTCTAGTAAGATAAAAGGTATTAAAGCCCACACTCTATGGGAACTCCCCTGATATCTGATTAGGTCTTGGATGGAATTAAGAAGTATTGTACTGTACCCTTAATTCTTCTGTAACTATTGGGTTTCTCAGATTAGGAAGGTTAATAAACAGCTTTCATATTATATCATTTTATACATGACCCAGTTAACTCCATGATGACATATATTGTCAAAAAAGAGCATTACAATATCTGATATACAATGTCAGTGACTGGATAATATCAGCCCAGCTAACATGACTCTTATTCAGATTCATATACCAGTGCCAAAGAGGAAAAACGGAGGATTTTTTTCCCAAACACATAATCAAGGTGAACTCATAATTACCAGTGATTGAAAAGTGACATTTAGAAACAAAGAAGGGTTGCTAGTTGAAAAATTTTACCTCAGTGAAAAAGAATTCTAAAGAGAACATGTAGAATTTTGAAAAACCAACACAATATTCTTATATCTTTTCTTTCAACAACATCAAAATGTGGATGTCACCAGAGTACTCAGGAATTGAGTGGACTACATA